CCAACCCTTTATTTTGAGCCTTTGTGTATTCTTGCATGTGAGATGGGTTTCCTGGATACAGCACACCGATGGGTTTTGGCATTTTATCCAGTTTGCCAGTCTGTGTCTTTTGATTGGGGCATTTAGCCCATTTACATTAGGGTTAATATTGTTATGTGTGACTTTGATCCTGCCATTTTGATGCTAGCTGGCTGTTTTGCCCGTTAGTTAATGCAGTTTCTTCATTGTGTCGATGCTCTTTACCATTTGGTATGTTTTTGGAGTGGCTGACACTGGTTGTTCCTGTCTTTGTTTAGTGCCTCTTTCAGGAGCTCTTGTAAAGCAGGCCTGGTTGTGATGAAATCTCTGAGTACTTGTCTGTTTGCAAAGGATTTTATTTTTCCTTCGCTTATGAAGCTTACTTTGGTTGGATATGAAATTCTGGGTTGAACGTTCTTTTCTTTAAGGATGTTGAATATTGGCCCCCACTCTCTTCTGGCTTGTAGGGTTTCTGCTGAGAGATCCGCTGTGAGTCTGATGGGCTTCCCTTTGTGAGTAACCCGACCTTTCTCTCTGGCTGCCCGTATCATTTTCTCCTTCATTTCAGCCCTGGTCAATCTGAGGATTATGTGTCTTGGGGTTGCTCTTCTTGAGGAATATCTTTGTGGTGTTCTCTGTATTTCCTGGACTTGAATATTGGCCTGCCTTGCTAGATTGGGGAAGTTTTCCTGGATAATATCCTGAAGAGTATTTTCCAGCTTGGATTCATTCTCTCCATCACATTCAGGTACACCTATCAAACGTAGATTAGGTCTTTTCAGATAGTCCCATATTTCTTGGAGACTTTGTTAAATCCTTTTTATCCTTTTTTCTCTAATCTTGCCTTCTCGTTTTATTTCACTGAGTTGATCTTTCCATCTGGAAATGTGGCATCCACTCACCCTCCATGCTTTCGCTGGGAGCTGCAATCCTGAGCTGCTTCTAATCGGCCATCTTGTATCCCTGGTCTGTTTTGTTTTGTTTTTTGAGACAGGGTGTCACTCTCGTTGCCCAGGTTGGAGTGCAATGGCATGATCTTGGCTCACGGCAACCTCCATCTCCCAGATTCAAGCGATTCTCCTATTTCAGCCTCTTGAGTAGCTGGGATTACAGGCATGCTTCACCACACCTGGCTAATTTGGTATTTTTAGTAGAGATGGGGTTTCTCCATGTTGGACAGGCTGGTCTCAAACTCCTGACCTCAGGTGATCTGCCTTCCTTGGCCTCCCAAAGTGCTGGGATTACAGGCATGAGCCACCATTTCCGGCCAACCAGTGAGTTTTATACCTTCAGATGTTTTCTTGTTACACATTTCTTTCATGTTGAAGAACTGCCTTTAGCATTTTTTATAAGACAGGTCTGGTGTTGTAGAATTTTCCGAACTTTCGTTTGGCTGGGAAAGTCTTTGTCTCTTCTTCATGTCTGAAGGATAGTTTTACTGGATAAAGTTTTCTTGGTTGACATTTTTTTCCTTTAGCACTTTGTTATACTACTCCCTCCTAGCCTGTAAGGTTTCTGCTGGGAAGTCTGCTGCCAGACCTGTTGGAGTTCCTTTACTTGTTATTTCCTTTTTTTTTTTTTCCCTAAATTACAATTTAAATTTTTTTTTTTTGTTTTTGTTTTTTTTTTTTTTTAGAAATGGGAGTCTCACTATGGTGCCCAGGCTGGTCTTGAACTTCTGGCCTCAAGCAGTCCTCCTACCATAGTCTCCCAAAGTGTTGGGATTACAAGCATAAGCTACCACACCTAGCCTATTTGCTGCTTTTGTCTTGCTAGTTTTATGACTTTTTCTTTGTCCTTGACCTTTGAGATTTTAATTATTATATGCCTTGGAGTAATCTTATTTGGTTGAATTTAATTGGTGATTTTTTAACCTTTCTGTACCTGAGTATTTATATTTTTTTCTAGGTTTGGAAAATTCTCTGTTACTATTGCTTGGAATAAACTTTCTACTCCCCTCCATGCTCATTCTCCACTACCTCTTGAATGCCAATTTCTCATACATTTGTTCTTTTGATGCTATCCCACAGATTCTTTAAGCGTTCTTTTGTTCTTTTCCATTCTTTTTCTTTTCTCCTCTGTATATTCAAATAGCCTGTCTTTGAGCTCACAGATTTTTTTCTTCTGCTTTATAATTTCTGCTGTCGAGACCCTGTAATGCATTTTTGTTTGTTCAGAATATTTCAGCTGCAGGATTTCTGTTTGATTTTTTAAAGATTATTTTAATCTCTTTGTAAAGTTTCTCACATAAATTTCTGAATTATTTCTCTGTGTTTTCCTGAAGTTGGTTGGGCTACCTCAAAACAACTGTTTTCAATTTCCTGTCTTAGATCATACCTCTCCATCTTTTCAGGATGGGCCACTGGTATCTTATTTAGTTGGTTTGGTGAGGTCATAGTTCTCTAAATGTTCTTGATGCTTTTCAATATATGTCAATATCTGGACATTGAAAAAATGGATTTTTATTCCAGTTTTTGCAATCTGGCCTTGCTTATACCTGTCCTTCAGAGGGCCTTCCAGGAATTCAAAGGAGACTGACTGTTGGGTTCCCTAAGCCTGTGGTCACTGTAGCCATCTTAGCACTTAGAGGGCACCCTAAGCCTGTGTTGCTGGGACTTTGTTATAGGCTGCATTGTCCCTGGCCCAGATGGACCTGGGTAAGACCCAGGAAGGGTTCCCCACCTTGTGTTGTAAAGCTGGCCAGGGCCCTGAGCCCAGCACTGGTTTAGTTGCTGTGAGCTTAGTACTGGGTTCCAAGGAAACGTCCCATGCACAATTCTGTCTCCTTCCCCAAGAAGATGGTGTATTTCTCTGCACCATGTTGCCCAAAGTTGGGGGGAAAGGTGATGGGGGCAGTTCTGTGGCTGCTGCAGCTCATACTCTGCAGGGTTTCACCTGAAGCCTATGGCCTCTTGGACCAGGGTGGAAGTGGGTTATGCCCAAGGCCCATGGCTGCTACCGTGCTGAAATTTATTTGGGGCCCAAAGCCGCTTTAGTTGGCCAGTGATGTGAGAATCACATTCATCCTGATAGGGTGGTGAATTCTTTTCTGGTGCTTACTGTGGGGCTAGAATCTTTGTCCATGGACACAGGCCTGGAATTAGGCTGTGGGGTTTTGCCTCGTGCTGTGTATTACTGTGGCAGACTTGGCACTGGGGTCTAAGGCAAAGTCCCACATCAGTAACCAGAAGGAGTTCTGCCATGTGGACAGTGTTTCTCATCACTGCCTAGAGTTCGGGGATAGTTGGTGCAGACAGTATGAGACTGTCCTTCCTGTTCTCTTCAGTGCATCCTCTTCTTGTAAAATATAGTACTTGTATCTATCAACTGGTTTTCCTAGCTCTAGTGAAAATATTTTTTTGTGTGGATAGTTGTTCAAATTGATGTTTCTGTGGGGAATTATCTTTGAAGGGTCCTCTTCTGCCATCTTGCTGTGCCTCTGTGTCACTGATCTGTTGTTTATTTTTTCTGAGATGGAGTCTTGCTCTGTTGCTCAGGCTGGAGTGCAGTAGCACTATCTTAACTCACTGCAACCTCTGCCTCCAGGTTCAAGTGATTCTTCTTGGCTTAGCACCCCTGAGTACCTGGGACTGCAGGCATGCATCAGCCACCAGGCCTGGCTAATTTTTTTTTTTTTTTTTTTTTTTTGTATTTTTAGTAGAGACTGTGTTTTGCCGTGTTAGCCAGGCTGGTCTTGAACTCCTGACCTCAGGTGATTTGCCCAGCTCAGCTGAACAAATTGCTGGGATTACAGGTGTGACCCACTGCACCCCACCTCTTGTTTGTTTATTTTATTTTTTATTTTTTTGAGATGGAGTCTCTGTCACCCAGCCTGGGTGACAGACAGCTCAGCTTACTGCAACCCCTGCCTCCTGGATTCAGGTGATTTTCCTGCCTCAGCCTCCTGAGTAGCTGGGATTAGAGGCGGCCGCCACCATGCTTGGCCAATTTTTATATTTTTAGTAGAGTTGGGGTTTTACCATATTGGTCAAGTTGGTCTGGAACTCCTGACCTCAAGTGATATACCTGCCTCAGCCTCCCAAAGTGCTAGGATTACAGGCATGAGCCAGTATGCCTGGCTAAAACAATCACTTTTTGCAAGAACACATGCAAACAAAAAGATATACTCTAAGCACATCAGAATGATTTGGATGGAGGAGGGAAAAAGGGATGAAAAGTAAAAAAAATTTGGGAGCCAGTCATGGTGGCCAACATCTGTAATCTCAGCACTTTGGAAGCCTGCGGCAGGAGGATTGCTTGAGCCCAAGAGTTTTAGTCCAGCCAGGGCAACATAGTGAGACCCACCTCTACCAAAAAATAAAAAAAAGCCAGGTGTGGTACTGCACACCTGTAGTCCTAACTACTCAGGAGGCTATGGTGGGAGTATTGCTTGAACCTGGGAAGTTAAGGCTGCAGTGAACTGGGTGCACTCCAACCTGGGTGACAGAGCAAGACCCTAATTTAAAAAAAAAAAATGTTTTTTGAATCATCTTTTAAAGTTTGATATAATAATCCTTTTAAACTGACAAGGCTTGGTGTTTCAGAAAGGGATTCATTCTTTGAAAAACTTCTACCTTGGAAAGTGGTCTGTTAAGATCAGGGTTAGCAAACTATAGCCCTTTGGCTAGTTGTGCTGGTTCCTGTTTTTGTAAGTAAAGTTTTACTGGAATACAGTCATGCCATTCATGTACATGTTGGCTTTGGTTGTATTCCCACTACAGTGTCTGAGCTGAGTAGCTGCAACTACTCAAATGGCCCACAAAGCCTTAAATATTCAGTATTTAGCTCCCTACAGAAAAAGTTTGCCAACCCTCAGTTTAGACTTTCTGTCTCTTTTGGAGCCAGTTTTGATTCTAACTTGTTAATTTCTGTGTATATTGTTATCAGTTTCTTTCTCCTGTGATAGTGTCAGTCTTTTCTTGCTTTGTGGTCAGTAATTTTTGGGAATGTGTTTATCTGCCATTTTTTTCTTTGTTTTTATATGTAAGACAAGTAATGTGCTGGCTGACGTTGTAACACGGTTTGAGAGAGGCACGTCTCAGACATGTATGTGAAAACCCAATCATCATGCTTACGAACTACGAAAGGATCGTGTCATGTCTGCAGTTTTCTCATGGTTGGATTGAAGTTATGCGTTTTTGGTGAAAAATACCATAGAGGTGATTTGCACTTCTCAGGGTTGACAGATTAGGCAAAGAAAAATACAGGATGCAGCTGGGGGTGATGGCTCATGCCTGTAATCCCAGCACTTTTGGAGGCTGAGGTGGGCAGATCACAAGGTCAGGGGATCAAGATCATCCTGGCCAACACGGTGAAACCCTGTCTCTGCTAAAAATACAGAAAAATTTGCTGGGTGTGGTGGCATGTGCCTGTAGTCCCAGCTACTTGGGAGGCTGAGGCAGGAGAATCACTTGAACCCTGGAGGCGGAGATTGCAGTGAGCCGAGATCATGATGCCACTGCACTCCAGCCTGGCGACAGAGCGAGACTCCATCCCAAAAATTAAGGAAAGAAATGAAAAGAAAAATACAGGATGCTAGTTAAATTCAAATTTTAGAGAGGCAACAAATAGTTTTATAGTATGAATATGTCCTATGCAATACCTTATTCTCAGTGCATTGTATCAGAGGTTACCTGATACTGGTATTTCTGGAGATGTAAACTTTGATGTTAAGGTGGTGTTTGGGGTTCTCTCTACTGAATGTTGCCATTTATTCCTTTATGGTTAATAAACATGGCTGTATGTGGTGGCTCATGCCTGTAATACTGGTGCTTTGGGAAGCTGAGGCAAGAGGATCACTTGAGTCCAGTAGTTTGAGACCAGCCTGGGCAACATAGTGATACCCCATCTATACACACACATGCACACAAAAGCTATGTTGGTGGTGCATGCCTGTGGTCCCAGCTACTTGGGAGGCTGAGGTGGGAGGATCACTTGAGCCTGGAGGGGAATGGAGGCTGCAGTGAACCATAATTGTACCATTGGCCTTGGACAGAGGGAGACCCTGTCTCAGAAGATCTTGGAGACTATGGAAAATCCTATTTGTCCTCAAGCTTTCATCTACTAATTTTAGTATCTACTAGTATCTTATCTGTAGAAATTATTACTGTGGCATTTTAGGGGCAGTTTTGTATTTCCCTCATTTCTTCTGTATTTATTAATTGGACCTTTAAGAAAGTGCAGTCCCTTCTTCCACCACTTAATTTATTCAGTTATTTAATATTTTTCAGTTTTGAATAATGCTCTTTGGGGTATAATTCAATATGGTACTGTCATTATTAATTTCATTGTTCAACTTGTTCCAGCTTGAATTCTTTGGAGATCTTTCAGCTTGGGTCCTATGTCCTTTTGACATGCCATAGCCTTTTTTTTTTTTTTTTTTTTTTTTTGGAGACAGGGTCTCGCTCTGTTGCGCAGGCTGGAGTGTGGTGACATGATCATGGCTCACTGCAGCCTCGACCTCCCTGGGCTCTGGTGATCCTCACACCTCAGCCTTCTCAGTAGCTACAGGTGTGTGCCACCACACTAGGCTACTTTTTGTATATTTTTTTCTAGATATGGGGTTTTACCATGTTGACCAGGCTGGTGTTGAACTCCTGGGCTCAAGCGATCTGCCCACCTCAGCCTCCCAAAGTCTTGGGATTATAGACCTGAGCCACCATGCCTGGCCATTGAGCACTTCTTTAATTCATTTTTTATTACTATTATTATAACCCATTGCTTTAGCATATCCATAGAGCTGTGTATCCATCACCCGTTTTAGGACATTTTCATTCCTTCCCCCCAAAAAAATCACATGCCAAGTTATCATTCCCAAAATTCACCATTCCCCAGCCCTTGGCAACCACTAATCTACTTTCTGTCCCTATGGATTTGCCTGTTGTGGACATTTCATATAAATAGAATTATATATGATCCTTTTTGATTGCTTCTTTCTCTTAGCATAATGTTGTCAAGATTGTGTTAGTTTCCTAGAATTGTTGTAACAAATTACCACTCACAGAGTGGCTTAAAACAACAGAAATGTATGCTTTCATAGTTCTGTAGGCTAGAAGTCCAAAATATTGGTGTTAGCAACACCATCCTCTCTCAGAAAGCTCCTGGGAGAAGGATCTGTTCCATGGCTCTCTCCAGGCTTCTGGTGGTTGCCAGCAATCCGTGGCATTCACTCTCACCTCTATCTCTGTCTTCACATGACATTCTCTCTCTCACTTGCTCTCTCTCTGTGTGTCTACCTGCCTGTTTGTCCCTGTGTTTTCACATGGCCTTCTTTTTTAAAAAATTCTAATCTTTTTAAGAGACAGGATCTCTGTCACCTGGACTGGACTGCAGTGGTACAATCACAGCTAACTCTTACCTCCAACACCTGGCCTCACGTGATCCTCTTGCCTTAGCCACTCCAAGTGCTGGAATTACCATCGTAAGCCACCACACAGCTGCCGCCACCGCCTTTTTTTTTGAGACAGAGTCTCACTCTGTCACCCAGGTTAGAGTGCAGTGGCATGATCTTAGCTCACTGCAACCTCCGTCTCCTGGGTTCAAGCGATTCTCCTGCCTCAGCCTCTCAAGTAGCTGGGATTACAGGCGTCTGCCACCATGCCTGGCTAATTTTTTGTATTTTTAGTAGAGGCAGGGTTTTACCATGTTGGCCAGGCAGGTCTCCAACTCCTGACCTCAAGTGATTCACTCACCTCAGCCCCCCAAAGTACTGGGATTACAGGTGTGAGCCACCGCGCCTGGCCGCACATAGTCTTCTTATAAGGACATTAGTCATTGGATTTAGGGACCACTCTAATCCAGTACTATCTTACATTAACTTGATTACATCTGCAAAGACCCTATTTTCAAATTAGGTCAAATTCACAGATACTAGGTGTTTGGACAGCATATCTTCAATGGAGACAGTGATTTAACCCACAATAAGGGATCCTTTATGTTGTAAAACATATGAGAGCTTCATTCCTTTTTATGGCCAAATAATACTCTGTTGTATGAAAAAACCACATTTTATTTATCCATTCTTCAGTTGATGGACATTTAGGTTGTTTTCCACTTTTTCCCTATTAATGAATATTGCTGCTACTAGCATTCCTGTAAAGTTTTTGCATGGATATGTTTTCATTTCTCTTGGGTATGTATCTAGAGTTGAGTTGTAGGATCATAGAGAAACTGCCAGACTATTTTTCAGAGTGGCTGTCCTATTTTACCTTCCCACGAACAGGATATGAGCAGTGTATTTCTCTCCATCCTCACCAACCTACAGTTGCTATGATCTATTTTTTATTATAGCTGTCCTACTGGATGTGAAGTGGTACCTTATTGTGACTTTGATTCCATTGCCCTGATGGCTAATGGTGTTGAGCATCTTTTCATGTGCTTTTGCTCATTTATATATCTTCTTTGGAGAAATATCAAGTCAGATATTTTGCCTGTTTTAAGATTTGGTTATTTGTCTTTTAAGAGTCCCTTAGCTAATATATAATTCACAGAAAATGTTCTCCCATTCTTTGTGTCTTTTCACTGTCTTGGTGTAGTGTCCTTTGAGGCCAAAAGTTTAATGATGTCCAGTTTATTTTTGGTTGTTCCTTGTGCTTTTGGTTTCATATGTAAGAAACAAGTGCATACTTCAAGATCACAAAGATTATGCCTATGTTTTCTTCTAAGAGTTTTGTGCTTTTACCTTCCACAATTCATTCTTTGACCCATTTTGAGTTAATTTTTATATATGGTGAGAGGTAGGGGTTGAAATTCATTCTTTTGCTTGTGGATATCCAGTTCTCCCAGTTAAAAAGATTATTCTTTCCCCCATGGAGTTGTTTTGGCACCCTTGTCAAAGAGCTGTTGTCTATAGACATAGGACTTTATTTCTGGACTCCGACTTCTATTCCATTGATCTAAGTATCTGTCCATATGCCAGTACCACACTTTTTGTGTATATGTGACAGAGTCTCGCTATACTGCCCAGGCTATTCTCAAACTCCTGGCCTCAAGTGATCCTCCCACCTCAGCCTTCCAAAGTGCTAGGATTACAGGTGTGAGCTTTTGCACCCAGCTTCACACTATCTTGATTACATAGTTTTGTAGTACATTTAGAAGTCAGGAGCCAGGCATGGTGGCTAACACCTGTAATCCCAGCACTTTGGGAGGCTGAGGCGGGCAGATCACTGGGTCAAGAGATCAAGACCATCATAGCCATCATGGTGAAACCCCGTCTCTACTTTAAAATACAAAAATTAGCTGGGTGTGGTGGCGCGCGTCTGTAATGCCAGCTACTTGGGAGGATGAGGTAGGAGGATCACTTGAACTTGGGAGGTGGAGATTGCAGTGAGTTGAGATTGTGCCACTGCACTCCAGCCTGGCAACAGAGCAAGACTCTGTCTCAAAAAAAAAAAAAAGAAAAGAAAAAGTAAAAAAGAAAGTATGCATCTTCCAACTTTGTTCTTTTTCAGGATTACTTACTATTCTGGGTTCTTGAAATTTCCATATGAATTTTAGGATCAGTTTCTCAATTTTTGCAAAGAAGTGAGCTAGGCTTTTGATTGGGTTTACTTTGATCAGTAGATCAGCTGGGGAGCATTGTTATCTTAACAGTATTAAGTCTTTAGATCCGTGAATATGGGATGTCATTGTATTTATTTGGGTTTAATTTCAATAATGTTTTGAAGTTTTCAGAGTATAATGTAAATTTTATGCTTATTAAATTTATTCCTAAATATTTTACTCCTGTTGATGGTGTTATAAATGGAATTATTTTGACTTCATTTTCAGTTTCTTTATTGCTACTATGCAGAAATAAAATTGATTTTTATATATTGTTCTTGTCTCCTATACCTTTGCTGAATTCATTTATTAGTTTTTGTATGTTGAGCCAGCTCTTTGTTTCTGTGATAAATCCTATTTGCTCATAGTATATAGTCTTTTTTATGTGTTGCTAGATTTCAGTTTACTAGCATTTTTTTTTTTTTGAGGATGTGTGTGTGTGTATTCATAAGGGATATTGGCCTATAGTTTACTTGTGATGTCTTTGCCCAGTTTTTGTGTCAGTGTAATTCTGGCCCTGTAGAAGGAGTTGGCAAGTGCTCCCTCCTGG